TTAAGGGTTTGGGGTTGAATAAACGAAATTGTCTGAAACATACCTTGTACAGGACACCAGAAAGACTGGTCTGATGCCATACGCTTAGCTGGATATGGTGACTATACCAGTAAACGAACATTTAGGAAAGCGATAGAAACAAACAAGACAGCAGACATTCTGAATAGAAGGAATGGGTTTAGGAAGTTAAGTGGAAGCTAAATTTTTTTGGGATATGATTAGAGAGAGTGGGACTAACGAAAAATGCTACAGAGCAAGATGGGAAGGCTTGATTAGGCTAGAATCTGGTTTTGACGCTCACATCTAAATCATTTCAAGCGCAATACATTTATAGACAACACATGAAATGGAAAGCAATCATATTAATACAATTGCAGGATCAAAGAAATACATGTTTTAGAAGAGGATGCAGTTGTTTGGTCTTAAGTGAATCCGCTTTACGCAAAACATAAAGTATCCAACCAAATCATTATATATCTCATTGAGTTGGCCAAGTTGCACTATACGAAGTAGACTAGTTTGAAGCCAGCCACCTTTCTTGGTTTCGTGTTTTGGTGAATTATCATTAAACATGGTGTCTTCCTCTGACGATGTTAATAACATGACGACGAAGATTCAGCGAGGATTCACCTAGGTTGCTTTTGAAATACGCCGAGGACCTATTCGAACAACTCTACAGTCATGGCTTCAAGGCAATCCTTCTACAGCTTCCGGTGTGTCCAAATTATGAATCCCTTCCATTCGCATTTCAAACGCAACACCAATTTTTCTATATATATTATCGAAAGTGTCATTGTGAATCATGCTAAAAATGCTCAAGGATACTCTGAATTCTAAGAGAGAATTTTTAAGTTAATTGTATAATCTATAAATTATATTTTGTAAAACTTTGTCTTTTTCAACGATTTAAAAGTTTATAAATGCACTAAATTAACAATTTTTTAGAAAAACTATATAGTTTGTAAAATTTTGTCAATTTCAGTGATATTTTCGTTGCTATCATAATAAAAGTTCTTTTAATTGTCCAGCCACTCCTGCATTTTAATAATGAATTATTTGAATTATTATTTGTATATTTGCCTTCTCAACAATTCCATTGCGACTATGCTTTCAACATTTAATACAATAGAATATGTGTTCTAATAATATTTACACTGTATTAACGACCCAAAAACATTATTGTCGCAATAATTAAAGCGTAAGCACCTGTTTATTAAAGGCAGACAACAATTTAAGGAGGAAAAATTGATTAGTAATTTCCTAACAAGGTTTTTTGAGATTAATATTGAATCTGATATAAGAGAAGTATTCCCGCTAATTCGTGTGATGTGATGAAAGACAAGTAGTTTAATTTTCCAACAATTATATGAATAGGACTAACGCTTCTAATGTACTTCACATGAATTTGTCTCCCAAAATTTATTCTCATCTAGGCTGGACTAAACAGCGCGATTCGCTCAAATAGCATACAGGAATTTAAAAGCATACAAGGCATTCCCTTCTATTATATTCTATTGTTAGGTTGTTGGTGAAACAAATTTGTATCTACTATATCATTCGACAATATTACAAGTTCTTAATTTACTTCTGGTTTGTAACTTAAAAACATTTATAGCTTCATAAAAAAAGATTTAATTTAAAATATATAATTAGGCCTTTTAGTAATCTTTTTGAATATCTAGAATTGTTTTGCTGTATTATTTGTTGCTAAATATGACTCTTAGCGCTTTGCTTTAAATGTGTTTAATGCGCAAACAGGCCATGTTTTCACATTGTATTTAGATCTGTAAAATTTAGTAGATATTAATCTACTAGATTTAATACTATAATTTTTTACCGACATATTTAGAACTGTATCTAAAAATGGAATCTTTTAGTAATAAGGCTATGGATACTAACGTTTGCATTCCTACTATATGTCTTCAGACAAAATATTGTAATCATAATGCATCGATTCCAACCTCTCCGTATGCGGAGTCAGATGGCTCGGCATTTGCGTTTGATTCAAGTAATTTATCTGAATCGGGGTCTTTTATAAAATCTGAGGTAATTTATTCTACTTTGTAATCTTTAGCTGACTCAGCTTTTAGGTTGGTTCGGCGACCTAAATCCCATAAAACAATACGTGTTTATACATTTTTTATTTAGGCAACTCAAGCCTAACATTGCAAAGTTGGCTGCAGTCTCTCTTGACCAATATATTTCAACGTTTTTACCCGAATTATACAAGACAGAACTAAAAGCAAATAATTTGGGTATGCGCCATTTTAAAAAACACAATTTATTTACTTCGATATATTGTTACTTTGACACCTTTAAATTTTATGCTACTAAATATTCTTAATTTTTGTCATTTTTACTGTGACTTTTGTATATATTTGCTTATTTATTTTATTTTACATAAATAAATTGCTTCAAGCTTGGCCACTTATTTTTAAAGCATTTTAAGCGTATTGTATGTCTTTTAACTCATAAATGTTATTTGATTTTAATCATATATATGTATATTCTACTTATTGCTAAATCAATTAGGCATCTAGCTAATCTCTTAAATTAGTGTAATTTATAACAGCTTATATTTGTTTTATCCTTGATAAAGTATTATTTCCACACACTTTACACGAAACTAGTATTTTTTTATGAAAAGCAAACTCCCTCACACTAGCATTCTAGAAATAGCTTAGCAGCAGTAAATCTAAAATGTCAGATTTACCTATGTCTACTCTAACATTTAACTTTAATTAATTTATACAAAAATTTGGCCCTTGCATTAATACCTAATTAGATTTACATTCCACATATGCATTCACATTTCTTCTATTTTACTCTTATCCGTTATTCCTTAAATGTAATGGACTCGTTCATTGGCCCGACAGATAATTATAATGCTTGTCTCATGTTACTTCTCAAATATTATTTTGGCTCTTGATTCGTTTTAACGACAATTATGATGGAAATTTTTCTTCATATCAATTGATAATTTTATTCGTGTTTGTCCTTATCGCATATACAATAATTTATCTAATTCTTATTAATAGTAAAATTTTCTACTTATAACTATAAGTTTGTAAGTACAAGTATAATCTTGTTAAAAAAATTATGTAGATAATTGAACAGTACCTATTATCCTACTTTCCTCTGAATGCCAAAGCCTAGAGTTAATTATGTATAAATCTAGCATTATAACTTAATGCAATTTTGAAAGTAATATTTTATACTGTTGAACCTTGATGAAATAAGATAGAAAAGACCTGCTTAACTTGAATACATTATTTCCAAAATCCTTATAAGCCGTTTTATACCTTACACATATTTAACATAACACTGCTTAAATTTTCCTTACTAGCAAATCCATGACCTACTCAGTAACTGTGATATACAATTTTTAGTTTCATGCACTAAGGGGAAATTACTAAGCTTTTATTTTTATCAACTTATAGTATTTACTTTTGCTAAAGGTAATAGAGTTCATCTTTACAATTAACAAACATTTTAGGCCTTTTTAAAGTAGCTGTATATGCATATAATATTGACGTGCATTTTAGAACCCCTTAGAATATCTTTTATATTTAACAATGGGGACTTAATTTTCTTCTATTTAAATTTAATATGTCTTTTCCCCATCTAGAATACCTCAAAAGTATCTTTAACGAGTTTTTACTTCCTGGGATGGATCTTACTGAGCATTTACTTGACATATTGCCTCTTTTCTCGTCTATCTGCAATAAGACCGTTTTGGCCTTAAAACCAACCTCAAGGTTAATTAAAAATGACGTCTCTATCCTGTCTGTGCAAGATGAACCAGGTAGTGAGACGCTAGTAACTGAGGATGGGATGAGACGAGCTAAAAGTGAACCTAAGTCATCCTGTTTTCCCGGGCGAGAAGACCTTTGTAGCATCTACATTGATCTAATTGATAAGGCATTCATGCAGCGCGTAAATTTTCACTTGTCTAATGATCACTTTTCTGGGTCAACAAATGAAAGCACTTCTGTCTCTGCAAGCCAGCCTATCAGCATCGGTAAGACCGTTGGCGGAGCCGATTCATTCAGCAACAATGTCGGAACTACTTGCTTCCCAGCACCCAATTCGACGAACTTATTACTAACTGAAACCCCACATGGCCAACTGCTTCTCTTAAGCTTGACCCATCCAGCTATCGGTTCTAGTGACCGGATGGCCATTTACCGACGACTATTAAAACATCAACAAGAATGCACAGCTTCTTCTGGTGGTCTGCAAGTTTCAAGTCATATTTTGGATGGCCTTATCAGCTTGGCAGCGGAATTGGGGGAATATTTTCCGTGCTCTATAGAACCCCAAATTGAACGTGAGTCCTTTGATAATATTAGCAGCTTTACAACTTTTTATGAAAGACATGCAACTACCACTTAATTTTAAATAATACTCCAAATAAAGTATGCATTTTCAGAAATAGGTTAATGCGAAAATGCTTCACATTATTTTATCTCAGAAGAAAGTATGAAACCCAAAATGTACTTTTTTTATAAACTAACCAGGCTTGAGTAGCATAATTTTTGTAACATGCCTATTAATGTTTAATAGAATGTGTTAGGGGGATTTTCATTTCGTATGAAAGTGAATGAAGAAGAGATTCGTTGGTCGATCTCACCAGACGAGGACGGATAAATCTCGTTATACTAGAGCCGTTTTGCTTTTATACGATATTCATGTTAACGCAGTCCACGAGACTTCCTCCCTCGTTTCGGATGAAAACGTGCTGAGCTTTCGTCGATCATATGATGGACATCATCAGAGCTAGGTGCCATACTTGTAAAAGTCTTACCTTAATATTAGGTCAAGAACATTATCCGGTGATGGTTCTAATTTCACTCACATTCGTCCAACATGTTAGAGTAAGCTCATCAACC